TTTTAATCGTATTTAAATATAATTTAATTATTTAATGTTTTTGTTAAAAAATTAAAAAATATATATATACGAACACACTCGAAATAAATAAATAAAATTTTAAAATTAAATAACTTATCTTAATATTCTTTGTGTAAGACACACACTACACTAGCTTTTCGTTTAAGGCACCACCAATAAAACATTTTCATTGCATGTAACCAAAAAACCCAACTCAAAAAAAAAAAAAAAGTAAAAAAAAAATATATATTTGACTACCCTTTTATACACATAGATAGATAGATAGATACACCCACATGTATATATATATATATATATGTATATGTATATGGTAATAGCTATAACGGTAATGAAAAGTATATATAGTAACAAAGCATAAAGCACAAAAACTTTTTTTTGGGGGAGGGGGTTTCACAGGCGGTCCATGGTTTGTTTTTGTCCCAACAAAGAAGTAAAAAGTAGAGAAAACATACATAATTACACACATTGAAAATCAAAATATCATTCTTATAAACATTCTTCAAAATCCTTACAAATTTTTATTTTTTCAATTTAGGGTTTTTTTTTTTTTTTTTTTTCTTTTGGAGGGGCCACTTTGAAAATTGATTAGATTTGATGGGAAACTCAATCATTACACCACGTTTTTAATTCCCCTAATTTTTCAGTCCCCAATTCAAATTTCACCCAAAATTAAAGAGATTGTTGTTGAAGATAAAAAAAAAATATGAAATTACCCAATATATATATATATATATACACACACACCCAATGAACTTGTTAAAAAAAAAAAAGGTGGGGTTTGGTGATTATAACGAAAAACCCAGAAAGCCTTATTGAGGTCTCTTGAGTCACAGGACACTGCCTCCTCCATGTGACACAGGCCGACACAAGGTTATCCCAGTTGACCAGGACATGGCTTCCTGAAATCACTCTTAAGACTCAGGAAATATCTACAGTCTTAAATCTACTTGTTATAAAGTTAAATGACTCGAAGTTTGAATTATACCCTTTTAACTCATCATCTCAACTATATAAACAATGGGATGGTAGAAAACCATGGATACAATAATATTCGACTAAAACATTCCTAACCCTAGTTTCTATCAATTACAAAGCTAAAACCCACATTATAATTTCCACTACTACGTTTCTCTCTTCAACCATTACGATAACAAATACTTCCTTGACGCCGACCCTGATGGGCATTATTAAACATTTTACTCTTCCACATCTTGAACAAATAAAAGTTTGAACTAACAGCTTTTAGACTCGTACCCAGTTGGTAATAAGTAGAAAAAAGACAAGTTTGTTTCAATTTATGAGCGTTGAGAAATGAAGAAAATGGCATTAATGGCTGGGAAGCCTGCAGATAGTGTCCAAAAAGAGCCAACAAGACTTTTTGCAGACTTATTATATAGTACAACGATTTATAAAGACAGCAACAGTTCTCCTCCGTTCAAAACCCTAATTAATGCAGAATCAATCCACCCAGAAAGACAAAACAACGAGCGCCGGATTAAGTACCACAAACTTTTTACTGCGGTTAAAAATAATAAACGACTTTTTTCTTCATGATCTGGAAAAAGGAGTTGAAGCCTGTAAAACTTCACCAACCACTAAAAGAATTCAAGATTCCATCTCTTTTTTTGTTTTCCCCCAAACAGTTTTAGTTTCAAATTCCAAGATTAATAATACGAGTCGATCTACACAAGGAATTTACATTAGGAAAATTTGGAGCAGTAAAGAAAAATTTAATTAAATTAAATATCATCCAAGCCTGCATGAAGCTGGGTTTAAAAACATTACAAAACTTTTGGGTTTTTTCTTTTCCTTTTCCATTTCTTTTTTACCCTTTTTTCCCATAGTTTTTCCATTTAATCAAATGGGAAAACTTGAAAAAGGGTGTTTTTAAGTTAATAAATTATCTTCACACAAAAGACCAGTTTACAAAGGAGAAGGCCAGGCAATGAACGCTATTTTCTTCTGCAGCAAGGACTTTCCAAGCAACTGCTTGCTCGTATGACACGTGTCGCCCCATCGTCGACATGCAGATTCCGGCCGGCAAATAAGCAAATCCCTGGTGAGAAAAATAAGATTTCAGAAAAACCCAGTTCATAAAAGCCAGCATAAAATTATTAACTTCTGATATTTGATCATAATTCAGTAAATCTCTTCTAGTAATTAATTAAGCATTGCATGGTAATTCAGTTCTTGCGGAAAACGTTGAGAAGTTGTCAATATCATAGATTTTCCAAAATGGTTCAAACACAAGTTCAGAACTTATACCTGCTGCATTAACTTCGAAAAGTCAGCACACAACGACTTCCGTCCAGACTCGTCGAATATCTTATCCAATGTGATGTCTTGTAAAGCCACTAATGTTGTTTCAAGCATGTCAAGCCCTGCCTGATTCGCGAAGATGAAAACTGGCAGCGACTGCAATAGTATAACAGAAAATTGTAAATAGTTTCGAAAACATTCACATCAAATGGTGGTCTATAAATCCACTGTACTCCAAGAACATGTACATGTTGTATACCTTCAATGAACAGCATAATATAGCATCTGGGTGATGCCAAAGATGTTTCAATACCGAGTCACCACCCGCAGAATCAGATCTCAACAGCTCAGTACCCATATGGAAACTGATCGAAAAGAGAAACAAAAGAACAGCAACAAGTTCAAATATTGTCTTATTGGTGAATTAACACGTGCCAACCATCAGAACATATAATATAGACTTACCTATAGCTCTGACAGATCCAGTGAGCAAGAGTAAGAGCTTCAGGGGATCCAGGAGATAACTTAGGTCCAACGGCGGGCCCTAATCCCGTAGGAGATATGGCCATGGCAACACGCTGGACCGATGAAATCACACTACGAACATATTGGCGTGCCATAGTTGCAACATTTTCCTGTAAGTTGCTCTCGAAAGGGAACTGAAAGGCGATAGTCAAGACTGACCGCGTGTTATTACACGATGAGCCATCTCCACTGGTGTTTGTTGCTGGACCCACTTCAAGACTAGATGTCAGATCTAATGTCCGATGTCTATTCAAGGTATCCTGAGGATCAGACTGCAGGATAAACCGTTAGTATCAGAAAAAAGCCTATGCAGCTAGTCCAAAATGAAGATTCGAAGGCTAAAAGTTAAGCAAGCGTAAAGTTAACCCAACTGTTTTTGAATCCAATGGTATGATGCGGAACCCAGATGGAAGAAGTGGGGCGTCATCGGGAAACATTTCATCAATTGGTGCAAACACAAGTTCTGAACAGGCTCCCACAGCATTCTCATCTATTCCGCTACATATCTGCCATATATTATAATATATTATTAGCATATCTTCAGATTAGAAGAATATTTATGAAAAAGGTTACTTATAATTGTACTAAAGAAAGAAGTTACAAAAAGATTAGACATGCAATAATTAGCAATTTGCCAATCTAGGGTAAGATATTATCCAAGAAACAAATACTTTTGCAATGTAAAGAATCCAAGAAGACGGTGAAAATCACCTGCAATAGATGAATGTCTCTCGAAACAAAAGCATCTTCCTGTGAAAGTGAATGTCCTTCAAGTCGGATAACTTCAAGCAACTGGAACAGAAATTTAGAAGTAAAATTATTACTTGTTGTCAAATCTACTCAATTTCTAAAATGAACCCAACATCTAGCACACTCGAAAGCCTGGGTAGATCAACATTATAGGAATTTCATACCTCTTCATGTTCAATAGTGTGGCCAAGAGGCATTATGATTTGGCTTCCGGTAAACCTTGTGGGCCTCATTCCAGGGTAAGCAAATGAACCAGCTTTCAATGATGCAGCAGAATATGCATCAACATTGAAATCAGCCCACTCAGAACGATGCTCCCTTAAAAACCGAACCAAAACAGCAGGGGGGACATTCTAGAAGCAAAGATAAAAAAAAAAACACAATATAATTAGCTCCAAAGTCAACAATATTTTTGCAAGTATCCTGTTCGATAAATTAATAAGAAACTAATATGATTCCAAAGTCAGACTCGTAATAACCTAAACAGGTTGAGTTGGATAAATATTTGTATGGTAAAGCATATCAGATAGATATAACAAATGTCAAATGATGATAATTTTCTCTAGAGTAATTTGAGCTTTTCAAAACATACTTGAAGGAGCATAGAAGCCTTCGCGCAGAGTACCCCACCAAGGTACGTAAGCGAATTAGCATGATTTGCCGAGGTGCTCAAGTTTTTCGTTGAATTAACTGCAAGTATCACATCTTCAGCGCCATCACAATGCATTATCGTCCATCCATCATCATTGAAACCATTTATAGCATCATTAAAACCTCTGCAAAGAACAAAACAAGATATTAAGATAATCTCGACTAGGACAAACATGATGAATTGTCGATTGCACCAAAACGTAATACATCGCGGTTGAATGTTCATGCAACTACCTGCTTAGTCTTTGGCTGAACGTTCTCAGAACAGCCGGCTGTCTGCCCAAACCATAAACCACTTCACCGCTTGTCTCCTGGGCTATTTGCCTAATGTAGCGAAGTGCCTATACAAAACCCAATTAGTGATTACCTTCTCAATATGACACATGACGTATGTTGTAGGTAATATGGCATTATGCTATCCAATTTAACCATCCGAGAACAGTCTAAACACTTCACAGAAATCCATTAGGTTATTTCACTAAAAGCTAATAATATATAATTAAAGAAGGGCCTAAAAACATGTGCATCTTGAAATATTTGAATATCTATAGATGTTTTAAGATGAGTGTTGTAAACTAGATAACCTGATACGTTGGGAGCAGTTTAAATACAAGTTGTTTCTCTCCTGGAAATTATTTTTTAGAAAAAAGAGCTACTTCATCAAATTGCCAAAAAGCCTACTTACTGAAATGGTCATCTTCTGAGCCACTACTTTCGATGATTCATAGAGTGGTCTCAGCACCTCTGGCACACTCCACGCCTAAAATAAAACATCACAGAAATTTAGTTCGTTATTGGATTGGTTCAAAGGCAACCGATTGATGGAAGGCATACCTCAAGATTCAGGTGGTCAACAATGTGGATGATTGACCCTCCACCCTCACAAGGCCTGATCAAGTAGCCACTAGGAAGTATTTCAGCTCTTACAAACTGAGCAGCAGCAGCTGCATTTGGACCGGCACCAGAACCAGAAAGAGACCTCTCACAGACCTTTAAATATGGAGAGCAAAAGGTTATAAGTGGCCATTCGGACTGGCAACTGGAACTGTATTCTACGAAGTATATAATTACAGAAAGAACCATATGCAGAATTTTGTTCAGTTGATTCACTTAAGTCAATCGTATAACAGAAATAAACTACTTAAAATGGTAACAAGAAAACGATATAATATGGGCTTCAGACGCGTAGCATACCACAAGACTGCCATTGTCTAAACTTGTCGTGTATCTCAGCGTCCAGAAATCCCGAGCAGGAGCCAAGGTAGTTGGAGCATACGTCTGCAATTTTGATTTTACTCATTTATTATGAAGCAGATGAATATTCATAACAACAACAACACGACAAGCAAATAAATAAGTGCTCATTCTTGATCACCCATGAATATACAATTTTGATTTTACTCATTTATTATGAAGCAGATGAAGATTCACGTCGACAACAACACGACAAGCAAATAAATAATTGTTCATTCTTAATCACCTGTGTGTACACAAGTTCAATTGTCCCCCCATTTCCAGCAGGAAACATGGTGAAAACTTCAAGGCTCCGACAATCCCGGAACCAAGAGGGGCGATCTTTGAGGATCTCAGCAATCTGTCAAAATTAATGATATGAATTGCATGCACTATAAGAACAAACACAATAAATTATAATTTATCCAGTATCAGACATACCTTTGTAGGTTCTAAACTAACAAGACCACATGCTCGTGCTGCCACCCCGCTACAACTTTGGGAAATGGCAAAGATCCCAACCGAATCCGGACCAGGCTGACAACAACAACATTTGATAATTGGCCTTTAGATAGGCTTCCAATTTAAGAATCACCCATAAAATTAACTAAATATAGAAACATAAACCATGAGTGCAAGAACAAAAAGATTCTTCCATGCAACGAACCTTCATCCCAGGCATCTGGACCCAATCGACAGCAGTTCCCGTAGCCTTTGAGAGGAACTCTGCCAAGGTCTCCTCCGCAATGGAGAGTAGTCTGCAAAACATAAAGCACCGAGATGTTAGAGAGACAAAACCAATAAAATAAATAATCAAATTTCCATGGCTGGGAAATTTACCCAGCAGGGTTAGTTGCATCTTTCAGTGAATGCTGAGGAGTGGTAACCACAGAGTCACAGCTTGCATCAGTTGCTGCTGATGCCTGAAGAAACAATCAAATAAAATCTCATAAATTTCCTTAAAAAACACCCATACAGATTGAAAACTACTTAACCATCTTCCAATTCAAGCAGCTACCATAATGATCTCTCATGAAACAAAAAAAGGAAGTTGTTATAAATACCCACTAAAAGTATGCGAGAATTGAATTGCATAAACAAGGGGAGATAAGACTGGTATAAAGTACTAAACTTCTACTCAACTACACAAAATGGGACTTAATTGCGTGTTGCATACATAACTATATAAGGAAAAAAGTTGAATTTTTAATTTGTTGCACATAATTATAAACAGAAGAAGAGTAAGAGAACCTACATTTACAGTTTGCAGCTGCTGCCGCATATATCCATTCTCACAGACCAGCTGGGAAACCTGTTTCTGCAACCTATCATTCTCCTCCATTAATAACTTGTTCATTGCTGTCAATTTCCTGTTTACGGTCTGAAGCCGAGAAGCCTCCTTTCTCTGTTTCTCCCGGCACCTACACATCGCAAATTTCCTTATATCATCACCATGGTTAATCTACTCAAAACTTTTTTTAAACAAAAAAAAAAAGAAGTCCAGATTCCACAAACCCAAATCTTAATCAAGCATTGAAAACCCAGTTGAGCAATCACGAGAAAGGCTTCATCTTTACCTGCGATTTTGAAACCAGACTTTGATCTGCTTCGGCTCAATGTTGGAAAGAATGGGGCACTCCCGAATTAACTGCTGCCTGCGGAGCGAGCTGGGCTTGGGACACTCGGCGTAGACTCTCTCCAGAGCCTCTACTTGCTCGGCTGTGTATCGCACGTACTTTCCATTGTCGAGGTGCTTGTTGATGCTTCCACTGCTACTCTCCCTGTGCTGTGCAACCGCCATAGCCATTTCTATCCACAACCCAGAATATCTGCCTATTCTGAAAAAACGATGATAAAGAGTAAGGGAGAGAGAAAATGAAGAAGAAAGGATTATTTAGAGAGGTCTAGAAATTGAAAAGCTGCTAGTTTTCGGTTTTGGGTTTGCGTTTTTTCTCGCTTTTTGGAGCTTATCAGCCAAGATTCTTACGTTTTTTTTTTCCCGTCTTGAGATAAATGAGAAAGAGAGAGAGAGAGAGAGAGAGAGAGAGAAGAAAGAAGGTAAATGGAAAGAGTTGGATTTGACGACCAGAAGATTCCTAGTGTAGCTTGAAGAGAAAGGTTTAAAGCGAAACAGGTCTGCTTTTTCTCAGAACTTCACGCAATAAACCTGCGTTTTTTCTTCGTCAAAACCAGGAGAAGATGAAGAAGAAGGAAAAGAAAAAGAAGAAGGAAAAGAAAAAGAAGAAGCTTCTTGTTGATGATCAAGTTTCAAAACAACAAAACAGAAAATACTAAAAGGAAGAAGAAGAAGACATACCAATCTGTCTCACTTCCAAAAAAACGAACACCACAGAACCGACCCTCTTCTTTTTCCCTTTTCCTCTTCAACAATTCCGATCTCCCCTAAAAACCAGAACCTCTGCTGGTTTTTCCCCGAGCCCAAATCCTGAAAATGCTCGAAAGAACCCACTAAAAACAAAACCCAACCGGCCACACCCAGACCTTTCTATCACCCGAAAACCTCAAAAAGCTACAAAAATAACCGAAGAAGAAGAAGAAAACAACAAACTTTCTCGAGAAAAAAATAACTGACGGGCTCTCTCTGCGAAGAGAGCCAACGGCTGTCGCATTACAGACACACCACCACTGAGAAAGCAAGAAGAAACGGAAATGAACAGCTCCTCACCATGACTTCACCTCAACAAGAAGAAGAAGATGATGAAGAAAGAAATGGTGGGGTTTTAAAACAAAAATTAAAAAGAAGAAAAAATCAATTAAAGAAATTTTGTTACAGAGACAATGAGAGAGAAAGAGGTAAAGGAGTGACAGTGAGTGATCTAAGTCTGAGCTTGAAACAGTGGGAATATAAAAGAGAGAGAGAGAGAGAGAGAGGTTTATGTGCACGCAAACCGACAAGGTGAGGAAGAGGGGGGAAGGGGGGGTTTCTTTATAATTTTTTCGGCGCATTTACGTCGCTGTCCCTGTTCTTTATCTGAAATGACATTTCAGGACAAGATCCACCCACAAAATTACATTATTACCTTCTTATTTATTTTTTAAATTTATTAAAATAACCACTTCTTTCACATCACCGGATTTTTTAAAAAACAAATAATCAGCAGGCTTAATTAAGGGAAAACCATATCTTATTTTCTAAATCTGATTTTTTCTGAGAATCCATACATACGTCACGTTTGGACACGTGTCATTTTCTCAATTTTTCAGATTTTACATTTTTTTATTTTAAATATTTTTCAAATCTTGTTAATTTTTGTCCGTTTGTGTACTAATTAAATTTTAATATTTTATTCTTTTTATATGCTTTAAAAAAAAAAGATAATGTTTTTTTTATTATTAATAATTTAAATTATTGAGTGTTTTTATAATAAATTTTATCATTTGATCTTCAATTAGTGGTACGGTTGTGGCTTGATTGGTTTGCACAATGATATGTTAACGACATGAATTTATCCAGTTTAAATTACATATAATCATAATTATATACCATATTTATTTAAAATTACTCATACAACACTTCATTAATTAGGGGTTTTAGTTTCAATTAACCAAGCATTGACTTTTGATATATTGGAATATGATTGTAATTAACCATTTCATAACATAATAATTACATTATTTTCTTGTATTAATAATCTTGATTTTACATAATGATAATTAATTCTTTGTTATATAATAATAATAGTAGGTATTATTATTTTGTTTTAATAATTATTTATTTTATCATTTTAAATTTTTTATATTTTATATTGACCATATAATATACTCAATAAATCGATTATTCAATTTTGTCATCGCTTTAGGTATCTTAATTATGTAATTTGTTAAACAAAGTATTGGGTGATGTATAACCCGTGTTTATTAAGTAAAATTATATAGTTCTAACATATAATAAAAAAATAAAAATATTTGAATCATCTCATATAAATATAAGAATGTTCAAAGTATACTCTCATTTGGGATTGTAATGTACTTGGCACTTAATTAGTTCTTAAATGATATATTAAACCCCAACTAGTATAAATTAATGGCTTTTCAATAAATAATTTTGTTAATAATCCTTTTAAATTAATTTTTTCAATTAATTATCAATTACTTACTATAAATTTTAATAGTAATACCGATAATTAAAGAAACACATTTTGTTAGTAATAAAAATTAAACAGATAACTATTAACTAATCAAAATAATTATCATTTATAGGATAATGATTTATTTATCATTTTGGTATCTAATAATCAAAGTAAATAAAAAAATTAGTTTATGATTACTCCCATAATTTATTTCATCCAAAAATATTATTATTCTAATTAATTTCTTTATATATTTACGTGTAAAAATTGGTTACAATTTATATATTTGATATATAATCTAATTCGTATCATTATCTCTAATTGTATAATAATAAATTTATATTTTAATATAATAATGAATGAATAAACAAAACACTCAACTTGAATTTAACATATATTTATGTATTTTTATACTTATATTTTTAATTTAAATTTGAAACCAAACTCAATGATGAATTTTATTCAAAATCTATTTCAATATCTTTAGTTAAAAATTAAAATAAAATATTAACATAAACAAAATAAGCATTATAATTCCATACATACTTTAATATTCGATGTAATTTGTATGTTTTGTTATTTATTATTTAACACGTATGAATATAAATTATATAAAATTAAAAATATAACTAAATTAAAAAATATAAATAATGATTAACACTTATCTATAAAATAATTATAAGAATAAAAATAATTCAAAAAAATATTTTATTTTTTGTTTATATTTATTTTTTATTAATACAAATTATATAAAATATTTAACTTGTTATGTTTATGTCAACTACACGAACATATCAAATATAAAATATTTATTTTATAAAATTACTAAGACTTATTTAAGATTAATCACTACATTTTTTAATAAGAATATAAAGATTTTAATGATTATTCGATTTATATATTTTATATTTATATTATATAAACATAAAAAAAATATTAAAATTTTAATAAAATTTAGTGATTATAATTTTATTATCATATTAGTAAATTAAAATTTAATTTTATTAAATAAATAATTTAAACATTTAATTAGAATTTTTTTAAAAAAAGT